ATAGATAGATAGATAGATAGATAGATAGATAGAATGATAGATAGATAGATAGATAGATACATAGATAGATAGATAGATAAAGAGCATGTGTGTGTATGTGTTCTATCTATCTATCTATCTATCTCCCATCACAACCTACAACACAACCCGGATAATAACAGCAGCAATTTACCGCCACAACCAACAACACAACATATTTATAATCATTACAAAGCCTTCACTAATTACGGGTTCATTTATTTGCTTATAAATGTTGGTTTTGTCAGCTGAGAATAATAATAATAATAATAATAATAATAATAATAATAATAATAATAATAATAATAATAATAATAATAATAATAATAATAATAACAATAATAATAATGGTAATAATAACACCAAAAATAACAAAATAACAATAACAACAATAATAACAGCAACGACAACCTCAACAACAATATTAATTAGGGTGTTTAAACTACAGGTGGGATAAGCAGGGGTTGTGTCTCGTCAGGTAATATAAAAGCAATCAGTACTACTAATGAGAACTTACCTGTGGCAGTAGTTCAGGCAGGTAATGGTCGTGGAGGAACCCGGTACAGTAATTAGCTCCTCCTACCTGGGGAAGAATTGTTATATGAATCACCTGAAGATTAGCCCACCCCTTCCCACCTCTGACACACCTCAGTTCAGGTATATTCAAGAACCTGTACAGTACATGTCGAGTACCTGTCAATCTTCCTCTACCTTCCATCTCCTCTCCTCCTCCTTCCTCTCCCTTCCATCTCATCCTCCTCCTCCTTCCTTTCTCTTCCATCTCCTTTCCTCCTCTCCCTTCCATCTCCTCTCCTCCTCCTCCTTCCCTCTCCCTTCCATCTCCTCTCTTCCTTCCTTTTCTTCCATCTCCTTTCCTCCTCTCCTTCCATCTCCTTCCTCCTTCCTTCTCTTCCCCTTCCATCTCCTTCTCCTCCTCCTTCCTCTCTTCCATCTCCTCTCCTCCTCCTTCTCTCTTCCATCTCCTCTCCTCCTCCTCCGCATTCCCCTTCCATCTCCTCTCCTCCTTCCTCTCCTCTCCCATATCCTCTCTACCTTCCCACTCCTCCTGTCCCTTTCACTCTCCCTCTCTTCTCCCTTCCCTCCCATCCTCACGAAACTAAGTGGGGATGTAGCAAAGGGCTGGAGAGAGGGCTGAAAAATAGAGGGTCTAGAAGGGTCTGTAAATGGATGAAAGGGACTGGAAAGGGCTGCAGAAGGTGGAAGGGACTGGAAGATACTGGAAGGGGCTGGAAGGGGCGAGAAGGGAATGGAAGGACCTGAAAGGAACTAAAAGGGTCTGAATAAGCTAGAAAAGAATTGAAAGGGACTGAAAGGGTCTGAAAGGGGCTTAATAATCCCCTAAGTGACCAGAATATCACATAATTTTCCCCCAAGGGTTGAATTTGGCTGACACTTTCCTGGTGATATATTGGGTGAGTTAAATTAGGATTGAGAATCTTGTCACCTGTAAATTTTATGGAATGAGATGAAGATTAGGCACCCTAGATTATCTTATCTGATGATGGAACACCCTAACACTAACCTAACCTAACGCTAACCTAGTGTAACCTAACCTAATCCAACTAAACCTAATCTAACCTAACCTAACGCTAACCCAGTGAACCTAACCTAATCCAACTAAACCTAATCTAACCTAACCTAACCCAACGCCAACCTAACCTAACGCTAACCTAGTGTAACCCAACCTAATCCAACCAAACCTAATCTAATCTAACCTAACCTAACCTAACCTAACGCTAACCTAACGCTAACCTAGTGTAACCCAACCTAATCCAACTAAACCTAATCTAACCTAACCTAACCCAACCTAACGCCAACCTAGTGTAACCTAACCTAATCCAAACCAAACCTAATCTAACCCAACCAACCTAACGCTAACCTAGTGTAACCTAACCTAACCAACTAAACCTAATCTAACCCAACCTAACCTAACGCTAACCTAGTGTAACCCCAACCCAATCCAACTAAACCTAATCTAACCTAACCTAACCTAACGCTAACCTAGTGTAACCTAACCTAATCCAACTAAACCTAATCTAACCTAACCTAGATTATCTAATGATGGAACACCCAAACCTAATCTAACCTAACTTAACCTAACCTAACCACCCCAGGTAACGTGAAATAAGTGGGTGTCTAATCTTCACGTGATCCATCTATCTCATGAAAAAGTTGCTAAGGAAACATATAGATTTGCACTCCACTAAGACTCTTATTCAACTACAGGTCGATCAAAACTACAGGTCGATCAAAACTACAGGTCGATCAAAACTACAGGTCGATCAAAACTACAGGTCGATCATAACTATAGGTCGATCAAAACTACAGGTCGATCATAACTATAGGTCGATCAAAACTACAGGTCGATCAAAACTACAGGTCGATCAAAACTATAGGTCGATCAAAACTATAGGTCGATCAAACTACAGGTCGATCAAAACTACAGTTCGATCAAAACTACAGTTCGATCAAAACTACAGGTCGATCAAAACTACAGTTCGATCAAAACTACAGTGATCAACAAGGTCGATCAAAACTATAGGTCGATCAAAACTACAGTTCGATCAAAACTACAGTTCGATAAAAACTACAGGTCGATCAAAACTACAGGTCGATCAAAACTACAGGTCGATCAAAACTACAGGTCGATCAAAACTACAGGTCGATCAAAACTACAGGTCGATCAAAACTATAGGTCGATCAAAACTACACGTCGATCAAAACTACAGGTCGATCAAAACTAAGTCCGATCAAAACTACAGGTCGATCAAAACTACAGGTCGATCAAAAAGAAATCCTGCCTGACAAACTTACACACGTTCCCTCAAAGAGCTACAGGACCAAGGCTCACCAGGGGATACGTTGAACAGGGATTTCTCTAAGGCAATTTAACAGAGTCCCACATACACGACTAGTCTCTTAAGCTCCCGGCCATGGCATCACGGGCAAGATATTGGATTAACAATTAGTTCAAAGACAGACAATGAGTGGGAGTAAATGTGGTATATTCTGTTGAGACTTGGAAATGAAAGACCTTACACGTAGGATACAATCACCTTAAACACAATTATTCTGGTGATAAACTTTTCTGGATACTGTCGATAAGAGAGGAAGATCTTGGCGTTGTGGGGGTAAGTCTCTGATGGCGGTGGAACAGGTGGAGGCAGATGGGAAAAATGCCCCTTTAACTGTATAAATCTCATGTATGTCCCAGTGTGGAATACAGGCATGGAATCCCTACCTCCAGTAAGACCTAACATCCCTATAAATGGTGCAACAAAAAGCGACTAATATGATTCCGGAACTATGTCATCTTGATTAACAACCCTTCAGACAAGGCACAATAGGGTAGATCTCAATGACACAACCAAAATCCTGAACTGGATGGAAAACATGAACCCGGGACATTTTCTTTATAATGTCACGCCCCACCAACACGATGGGGCGGTTATCGTGCTGAACGAACCTAAAGAAACTCTTCTCCTCACATATAGTGGTAGATCAATGGAACGGTGAACCAACCCAAGCTGTGGACTCATGAACGGTACCTGGCTTCAAGACAGTCCAAGATAAGACTATCATGAACAATGGAGGGATCCTAAACAGGCCACTGGCTTCCTTCCTCGGCATGGCTACCTCTAGTGGCTGGCCATTAACTAAACAAAGTATCAAGTTAAGATTCGAGTCTCAAAGTCATTTTGATTTCATCTTTTGTGTTCCTCTCAAGTGACACGATAAGATGCCTTTCATCTTATAAATACGAGGAATAATTACCTCATGAACTTGTTTTATGAATATGTGGAATATTCATCTCACGAATGTATCTTTTTAATGAATCAATACCTCGAATCACATCAGGTGAGGCAGGTAATAAAGAATCAGTACATCACCTGAGCCCACCACCTACCCCTCACGCTGTCGTCATGCCTGCCTCAGTTGCCATGGTGACAGTGACGTAGGAACAGGACGTAATGGTAGCGCTGTCACCTCCCCCCAGGCTAGATCCTGGAGGCTAGGGCGTCGCTGCTAAGAGATTGATAACAGCACACGATGCTAACGTAAATAAATCGAAGTTTTTAATATCATCTTTTATTCTTAGAAGGTGTTTGGTTAGGTTAGGTTAGGTGAGAGGCGGGGGGGAGGAGCAGTTTTCCATGAGTCGTTTGTTATTGGTATATTTTGTTTAACATTTTCCAGGATTTTTTTTAATGACTGTGGGAACCGTCCCTGTCTGTCTGTCTGTCTGTCTCTTTATTTCTGTCTCTATATCTAACTCTATTTATCTCTCTGTCTCTCTCACACAGTACTAACACACCACTGTCCCCCACAGGTCAGTGCCCCTTCATGTGGGAGGAAAGGGGGGGCCTGTTTCTACTTCGCCAAGCACAACGCCTCTTGGGGTAACGGCAAGGCTTACTGCGAGACCCAGAGTGCCAGCATGTTGGACCTACACTCTGAGACCGAGTCGGATTTTATTAAAGGTAAAAAAAAGAGAGAGAGAGAGAGAGAGAGAGAGAGAGAGAGAGAGAGAGAGAGAGAGAGAGAGAGAGACTAACTGATTTGTACTTTGAAGCTGAGTTTAACGAGAGAGAGAGAGAGAGAGAGAGAGAGAGAGACTAATTGATTTGTACTTTAAGCTGAGTTTAACGAGAGAGAGAGAGAGACTAATTGATTTGTACTTTGAAGCTGAGTTTAACGAGAGAGAGAGAGAGAGAGAGAGAGAGAGAGAAGGAGAGAGAGAGAGAGAGAGAGAGAGAGAGTGAGTCTGACTATATCAAGGGGTTGAAAGAAAGAAAGAAAGAAAGAAAGAGAATAGAATTAAGCTAAAATGATATCCACCATTCATAATCTTAACTGCACTTGTCATAACATACACCTGAACCCCACCGTAAACGACCCCATGTTCCACTAACTCCAAAATAACCTAACCTAACCTGACGGGGGGTGTTGTATCCAGGTAGATGCTGGGGAGGAGCTGGTTGGGCCTTCGTCGGTGCAGGAGAGGAGGACTGGAAGTGGCTCTCGAATGCCAAGGTCAACTACACCCGCTGGTTCTACCCTTCGTCAGGCAGTAGCACCGATAGGTGTGTTATGGTGAGTGTTGCTGTGTCGAGTCCTCACACTACAGGAGATCAAAGTAGGGTGTATTAGGGTGAGGGGTGGGGTGGGGGAGGGGACTTTATCAATCTATCTGTCTATCTGTCAACACCACTTCCTTCTCTTACCTCGAGATACACACGACTCTACCTATCTACACCACCCACCCACACCACCACCCACACCACCACCACCTGCACCACACACCTACATCACCACACACCTACACCAACACACACCTACACCACCACCCACCTACACCACCACCCACCACACCACCACCCACCCACACCACCACCCACCCACCCACACCACCACCCACCACACCACCACCCACCCACCCACCCACCACCACCCACTCCCCAATTTACATCTCAATGACCATATTCAACAAGCGAGTCAAGATTCAGCCATCAAGTGTGTAAAAATATTTCCCTTCTGAATTAATTTCCCCACAAAAGCAAGATTTTCCTTCAAGGGGAAACTGCACAGAAAAGTAATTATATAACTTTAATTTAATGGTGATTATTGTATATTAAATTTCAAGTTAATTAGGATTATATGGATTATTTGTCTATAATTGGTAAGTATTGGTGTGATTATTATGTATTGGTAATTATTGATGACTTACCGCCGGAATTTTGCTGAGTAAAATATGTATTGTTTATATTATAACCGGTTTAGTTATATACAGTGAGGGACGAGGGACCTCACTAACGAGGTTATGACATAGAACAGATGCCCAACAGAAGCCAACGGTTACAAGACTTAAACAGACGCAAGAGACCAACGGTGATGACAGGACCTCACCAACGCAGCAGCGACATAAACAGAGACCAACGGTAACAGGACTCACTAACGCAGCCATGACATAAAACAGGACCAACGGTAACAGGACCTCACTAACGCAGCCATGGAATATAAACAGAGACCAACGGTGACAGGACCTCACTAACGCAGCCATATATAAACAGAGACCAATGGTGACAGGACCACTAACGCAGCCATACATAAACAGAGACCACCGGTGACAGAATCCTCACTAACGCAGCCATGACATAAATAGAGACCAACGCGCGACAGGACCTCACTAACGCAGCCGCGACAAAATACACCCAACGGTAACAGGACCTCATCACTAACGCAGCCATGACATAAACAGACACCAGAGACCAACGGGTAACAGGACCTCACTAACGCAGCCATGACAGAAAACAGACACCCAACAGAGAAAGACCAACGGCAACAGGATCCTCACTAACACAGCCATGGATGATGAACAGACACCCAACAGAGACCAACGGTAAGAGGATCTCACTAACGCAGCCAAGCGACATAAACAGACACCAACAGAGACCAACGGCACAGGACCTCACTAACGCAGCCATGACAAAACAGACACCCAACAGAGACCAATGGCACAGGACCTCACTAACGCAGCCACAGACATAAACAGACACCCAACAGAGACCAACCCAAAATAGGACCTCACCACCACAGCCATGACATAAACAGACACCCAACAGAGACCATTCAACGGTAACAGGACCTCACTACCCAGCCATGACATAAACAGACACCCAACAGAATTAACGGTAACAGGACCTCACTAACACAGCGACATAAACAGACACCCAACAGAGAGACCAACGGTACGAGGACCTCACCAATACAGCCATGATGAGCAAACAGACACCCAACAGAGACCAACGGTAACAGGACTCACTAACACAAAGCCAAGATATAAACAGACACCCAATAGAGACCAACGGTAACAGGACCTCACTAACGCAGCGACATAAACAGACACCCAACAGAGATGAACGGTAACAGGACCTCACTAACACAGCCATGACATAAACAGACACCCAACAGAGACCAACGGTAACAGGACCTCACTAACACAGCCATGACATAAACAGACACCCAACAGAGACCAACGGTAACAGGACCTCACTAACACAGCCATGACATAAACAGACACCCAACAGAGACCAACGGTAACAGGACCTCACTAACGCAGCCATGACATAAACAGAGACCAACGGTGACAGGATCTCACTTAACGCAGCCATGACATACAAACAGACACCCAACAGAGAATTAACGGTAACAGGACCTCATCAAACACAGCCATGACATAAACAGAGACCAACGGTGACAGGACCTCACTAACGCAGCCATACATAAACAGACACCCAACAGAGACCAACGGTAATAGACCTCACTAACACAGCCATGACATAAACAGACACCCAACAGAGACCAACGGTAACAGGACCTCACTAACACAGCCATGACATAAACAGACACTCCAACAGAGACCAACGGTGACAGGACTCACTAACACAGCTAAGTGACATAAACAGACACCCAACAGAGACCAACGGTAACAGGACTCACTAACGCGCCAAGGACATAAAACAGACACCCAACAGAGACCAACGGTAACAGGACCACTAACGCAGCTATGACATAAACAGACACCCAACAGAGACCAACGGTAACAGGACTCACTAACACAGCCATGACATAAAAAGACACCCAACAGAGACCAACGGCACAGGACTCACTAACACAGCCAAGGACATAAAACACAGAGACCCAACAGAGACCAACGGTGACAGGACCTCACTAACACAGCCATGACATAAACAGACACCCAACAGAGACCAATTGGTAACAGGACCTCACTAACGAGAGCCATGACATAAACAGACCAACAGAGACCAACGGTAACAGGACCTCACTAACACAGCCATGACATAAACAGACACCAACAGAGACCAACGGTAACAGTGACTCACTAACACAGCCATGACATAAACAGAGACCAACAGACCAACGGTGACAGGACCTCACTAACGCAGCCATGACATAAAACAGACACCCAACAGAGACCAACGGTACACACAGGACCTCACTAACACAGCCATGACATAAACAGACACCCAACAGAGACCAACGGTACCAGGACCTCACTAACGCAGCCATGACATAAAACAGACACCCAACAGAGACCAACGGTAATAGGACCTCACTAACGCAGGCATGACATATAAACAGGGTACCCAACAGAGACCAACGGTAACAGGATCTTCACTAACGCAGCCACATATAAACAGAGACCCAACAGAGACCAACGGTAACAGGACCTCACTAACGCAGCCATGACACAAACAGACACCCAACAGAGACCAACGGGGAACAGGACCTCACTAACACAGCCATGACATAAACAGAGACCCAAATATATTCAATGGTAACAGGACTACTAACACAGCCATGACATAAAACAGACACCCAACAGAGACCACCAGTAACAGGACCTCACTAACGCAGCCATGACATAAACAGACACCCAACAGGAGACCAACGGTAATAGGACCACTAACACAGCCATGACATAAACAGAGACCCAAATAGAGACCAATTTTGCAACAGGGACTCACTAACGCAGCCACAGACATAAACAGACACCCAACAGAGACTAACGGTAACAGACCTCACTAACGCAGCTATGACATAAACAGACACCTAACGAACAACGGTAACAGGATTCCTCACTAACGCAGCCATGACATAAACAAACACCCAATAGAGACCAACGGTGACAGGACTCACTAATACAGCCATGACATGTCGCATACCCAACAGAGACCAACGGTAATTACGGTAGATTCACTTCAACACAGCTACAGACATAAACAGAGACCCAATGAAAGAGACCAATGGTAATGACCTCACTAACGTGCCATGACATAAACAGACACCCAACAGAGACCAAACGGTAACAGGACCTCACCAACACAGCCATGACATAAACAGACACCAACAGAGAATTAACGGTGAAGCAGGACCTCACTAACGCAGCCAAGGACATAAACAGACACCCAACAGAGACCACCAAGAGGACCCTCAATTAACGCAGCTATGACATAAACAGACACCCAACAGAGACCAACGGTAACAGGACCTCACTAACGCAGCCAAAAAGGACATAAACAGACACCCAACAGAGACCAACGGTACAGGAGGACCTCACTAACACAGCCATGACATAAACAGACACCCAACAGAGACCAACGGTAACAGGACCTCACTAACGCAGCCATGACATAAAACAGGAGACCCAACAGAGACCAACGGTAACAGGACCTCATTTAACGCAGCTATGACATAAAACAGAGACCCAATAGAGTACCAACGGTAACAGGACTTCACTAACACAGCTACAGACATAAACAGAGACCCAACAGAGACCAACGGTAACAGCACTCACTAACGCAGCCATGACATAAACAATAGACACCAACAGAGACCAACGGTAAGAGGAGACCTCACTAACGCAGCCATGACATAAACAGACACCCAACAGAGACCAACGGTAACAGGACCTCACTAACACAGCCATGACATAAACAGACAAAGAAACAAACACCCAACAGAGACCAACGGTAACAGGATCTCACTAACGCAGCCATGACATAAACAGACACCCAACAGAGACCAACGGTAACAGGACCTCACTAACGCAGCCATGACATAAACAGAGACCCAACAAAGGTCAATGGTAGTGAGCCACCTTCCTGTTAATGGCTCAGAGGCAGAAAGGAATCACCGAGGAGGAAAAGTCATTTTTTGGCTCACTGGCCTGACAATATTCTCTCACCTGAGCCACATCAGGTTAGTCTACATCAGGTGAGGTCAGACAGGTGAAGGAAGGTCATCACCCACATCGCCGATCCTGGAATAGCTAGAATGATAAATATGACCTAGACCTTTGACCTTTCTGTCTCCGGGTCAATAGTGACGATCCTCCTCCTCCCACGGTCAATACACACACACACACACACACACACACACACACACACACACACACACACACACACAATTTCCATCCTCTTTTCCTGTATTAATGCAGTGTTACATAGGCGACAGGTGCTGTATGACATGTAAGCAATCGAGTAATAATAATAACAAAAAGAACAATATTAACAGCAACAATAACAACAATAATAACAACAATAACATCAACAACAACAACAACAACAATAATAATAATAATAACTAGTTCGTGGTTCTCTCTCAACATTGGTATCCTCTTCATCCCAGGAGTCCGGGGTCAATGCCACCATCACCCTCTGCTTAACCTAACCTAACCCAACCTAATCTAACCTCCAAGTTATTGTAGTCTCTCGTGGCATTAAAATCTCGGCTAGTTTTATCTCAATAGGAAGCTAGATATTGGTGTGTGTGTGTGTGTGTGTGTGTGTGTGTGTGTGTGTTGGTCGTCTTATGGGTGGTAAGAATTGATTGTTGTTATTATTATTGTGCAGTTTTGGCGTGAACTGGTTTGGTTTAGTTAGGTTAGGTTAGTTTTAGGTTGGGTTAGTTTACGTTAGGTTAGGTTAGGTTTAGGTTGGGTTAGGTTAGGTTAGACAGTGTCCCCCTCTAATAGAACCCATGGTCTATTTTGGGATACCTAACGTGAAGCACTTCAACCAATCACGGCCTGGCTGACAGACGCCCTTTAGACCCGTGTTCGAGGCAATGTAACACGCTGTCCTGATTGGTCAGAATTATGGTCCACAGTGGTAATGGTATGTAAGTAACTACTGGTGTGTGTGATAGAGAGCAAAACGAACTACTGCTAATACTACAGTACGATTATTAAAAGTAGTAGTCGTAGTATGGTAGTTATAATAGTAGTAGTATCACCATCACCACCACCATAATTACTAACCATACCACCATCACTAACACCATAATTACTAACCATATCACCATCACTAACACCATAATTACTAACCATACCACCATCACTAACACCATAATTACTAACCATACCACCATCACTAACACCATAATTACAAACCATACCACCATCACTAACACCAACCATACCACCATCACTAACACCATAATTACAAACCATACCACCATCACTAACACCATAATTACAAACCATACCACTATCACTAACACCATAATTACTAACCATACCACCATCGCTCACCAATTATAATTACTAACCATACTACCATCACTAACACCATATAATTACTAACCATTCCACCATCACTAACACCATAATTATTAACCATACCACTATCACTAACACCATATTACTAACCATATCACCATCACACTAAATAATCATAATTACTAAATCATACCACTATCACTAACACCATAATTACTAACCATACCACACCATCACTTCAACACCATAATTAATAAACCATACCACCATCACTAACACCATAATTAATATCTAACCATACCACCATCACTAACACCATACTCATTAACCATACCACCATCACTAACAATAATTCATAATTACTAACCACACCACCATCACTAACACCAGGAATATATATATAAAATTAAAGGAGGGAGGGAGCAGCCCAGAAATAGGTATAATGAACTATCTAGGAATGCTAAGAAAAATGTAAGGAAAGCAAAGAGAGACTATGAAATCAAAATAGCAAGAGAATCCAAGGCGAATCCCAAGGGATTTTTCCAGGTATATAGGACAAAGGTCAAGGACAAAGTTGGGCCTTTAAAGTCAGGGAGGGGAGAAGTGATAAATGGCAGTGAAGAAATAAGCAAAGCATTGAACAGCTACTTCTTATCAGTTTTCACAGAAGAAATTTGAGATGAAATTCCAGAGGTGGAACTGATATTTAAGGGAAAGGAAGAAGAGAAATTAAAGAATATCACTATCAGAAAAGAGGATGTTCTTAAGAAGATAAATAAACTAAAGAAAACAAAATCCCCAGGGCTGGATGAAATTTTCCCTCGAGTCTTGAAAGAGTGTAGGGAACAGATTAGCGGACCCTTGTAAAACTTACAAAAATCAGCAGACACGGAGTTGTGCCAGACTTGTGGAAACAGGGCAAATGTTGTTCTATATTCAAAAGGGGAGACAGAGCATCAGCACAAATTACCGGCCGACTAGTTTGACGACGTCAGTAGTGGGAAATTTCTGAATCAATTATAGCAGATAGCATCCGATCGCATCTAGAGAAAAGCAAATTAATCTACGACTCTCAACATGGGTTTACAAAGGGAAAATCTTGTCTAACAAATCTGCTAACGTTTTTTTAGGAAAGTCTTCGAGGTAGTAGATAATGGCGAAAATTACGATGTTATTTACTTAGATTTTAGCAAAGCATTTGACAGAGTACGGCATCAGAGGCTTCTGAGAAAAATTAAGGCTCATGGTATTGAGGGGAAGTTTTAAATTGGATAAAATCATGGCTCACCGATAGAACGCAGAGGGTCAGCGTAGATGGTGTTAAATCTGAGTGGGGCCGTGTAACCAGTGGGGTTCCCCAGGGGTCAGTACTAGACCCACTCTTGTTCATAATCTACATAAACGATCTAGATACTGGGATCAGCAGTGACATAGGCAAGTTTGCGGATGACACCAAAATAGGGCGCGGCAAATTATTCAGGGCAGGATGCAAATGCATTACAGGAGTGATTCTAAATAAAACTGCAGGGTGGTCCGAAAAATGGCAAATGAAATTCAACACCAGCAAGTGCAGCGTACTTAATATTGGAAGAACAAATACTTATAATGTATACAGCCTTAACAACATCAACCTAGAGAAGTCGACTTGTGAAAGAGACCTAGGGGTACTTGTAAGCCCGGACCCACGGCCTAGAAAACAGTGCGTTAATGTTCGAAATAAGGCAAACAGAGTATTGGGTTTTATATCTAGAAGTGTAAGTAACAAGAGTGCAGAGGTCTTATTGCAACTATATCTTGCGCTAGTCAGGCCGCACCTCGATTATGCGGTTCAGTTCTGGTGCCCCTATTATAGAATGGATATAAATTAACTAGAGTCGGTGCAGCGAAGAATGACAAAAATGATTCCGGGACTTAGAAACCTTCCATATCAGGATAGGTTAAAGAAACTTAACTTGCATTCCCTAGAAAGACGAAGAGTGCGGGGAGATATGATAGAAGTATTTAAGTGGGTGAAAGGAATCAATAAAGGGGATATAGATAAAGTTCTTATAATATCCGAGCAGGATAGGACTCGGAGCAACGGATTCAAGTTGGATAAGTTTAGGTTTAGGAGGGAGATAGGAAGAAACTGGTTCACAAATAGGGTGGTGGACGAGTGGAACAAGCTTAGCAACTTTGTAGTAAGTGCTGGAACTCTGGAAAGTTTCAAAAGGAGGCTAGATAGATTCATGGATGATAGAGAGTGGTAGTAACTCTCGACAGGAGCTGCCATGCACAGGCCAACCGGCCTATTGCAGACTCCTTATTTTCTTATGTTCTTATGTTCTTATAATTACTAACCATACCCTCACCATAACCACAACCCGCTCACCATACCGCAGATGGAGAAATCCGGGGACTGGGGATCGGTGCCTTGTGGGAGCGACACTTTAGCCTTCGTTATCTGTGACTTCGTACCAGGTAAGCTAGACCCTTCCTTGACCTGTAACGACCTGGTTTTACGACCTGGTATAACGACCTGGTTATACCTGTTCTAAACTCGTATTATAATTAGATGGTTGACTTTCAAAATTAATAACTGACTCTAATATAACAATTGAGTCTCTAATGTAACAATTGAGTCTCTAATATAACAATTGAGTCTCTAATGTAACAATTGAGTCTCTAATGTAACAATTGAGTCTCTAATGTAACAATTGAGTCTCTAATGTAACAATTGAGTCTCTAATGTAACAATTGAGTCTCTAATATAACAATTGAGTCTCTAATGTAACAATTGAGTCTCTAATATAACAATTGAGTCTCTAATATAACAATTGAGTCTCTAATATAACAATTGAGTCTCCAATGTAACAATTGAGTCTCTAATATAACAATTGAGTCTCTAATGTAACACTGATTCTTTAAAAATAAAACCTGGCTCAATAACACCTGTCTCTAAAATAAAACCTGACTCAATAACACCTGACTCTAATCCAATATCTGGCTGACTCTAAAATATTAAGCCTGACTATTAAACAAAACACTTGATTTGAAAATAAAACCATCTCAATAACACCTGACTCTCTAAAATAAAACCCGACTCTGTAAACCAAACACCTGACTCTGTAAACCAAACACCTGACTCTGTAAACCAAACACCTGACTCTCCAAATCAAAACACCTCAAAATAAATACCACCTATGCTAATCTACCTCCCCCCCCCCTCTCCCTCCTTCACCCCCTTCTACAGGATACAACCCCTTCGTGCTAGTAGGTCCCGTGGTAATACTCTCTGGGGTAGCTGTCCTCATCCTCAGTATCGAGGTCTGCATCAGGAGGAAGGAGTTCAAGGAGAAGAACCTAGAGGCTCCTGTGAGGGTGACGACGGCGAAAGAGAGGTGAGTTGGGGTGGTGTGGGGGTTGGGGTGGGGGTGAGGTGGGTTGGGGTGTGGGTAAACAAAGCGGCGGTCAAGAACATACATTAACTCAACAAAGGAGAAAAGACTTTTATAAGGGAAAGATAAAGGAGGAAAGATCATCAGGAGGAAATGAAGGCAGGAGGAAGGGAAGAGGGAAGGAAGGAGGAGGGAGGAAGGGGGGTGAGGGAGGGGGATGAGGGGAAGGGAAGGAGGAGGGAGGAAGGGAAGAGGGAGGGAAAGGGAAGGAGGGAGACTGGGAGGGGGTGAAAGAGGAATGGAGGGAGGAAGAGAGAGAAAGGGAGAGGCAGGAAGAGAAGGAGAGACGGAGGCAGAAGTGAAAAAGGGAAGGAAGGAGGTGGACAATGAAGGTATACAGCTCAGCACGTAGACAATTCAGATAAACAATTCCCAATGTACCTATAGATACTACAAGTAAACAACAGTAGTAAACAGTAAGGCAATTTGACCAAGGATAGCCAACAAAGCCATTAGTTGGTTAGGTTAGGTTAGGTTAGGTTAGATTAAGTTAGATTAGGTTAGATTAAGATTGGTTTGATTAGGTTAGGTTAGGTTAGGTTAGGTTAGGTTAGATTAAGTTAGATTAAGATTGGTTTGATTAGGTTAGGTTAGGTTAGGTTAAGTTAGGTTAGATTAAGTTAGACTAGGTTAGATTAAGATTGGTTTGATTAGGTTAGGTTAGATTAGGTTAGGTTAGGTTAGGTTAGATTAAGTTAGATTAGGTTAGATTAAGTTAGATTAGGTTAGATTAAGATTGGTTTGATTAGGTTAGGTTAGGTTAGGTTAGGTTAGGTTAGGATAGATTAGGTTAAGTTAGATTAGGTTAGATTAAGTTAGATTAAGTTAGATTAGGTTAGATTAAGATTGGTTTGATTAGGTTAGGTTAGATTAGGTTAGGTCCTTTGCTAAATATATTATAGTTCGCACGATATACAGTATAACCTATTTTCATGCATAAGTATTACAACAATTTTTATTTTGTCTCTAAATCTTGAGTCGTGTGCATGATATAAACCTTAACTTGATGTAAGACTTACTGTAGGTTTAGTGGTGATTAATTATCTCAGTATCTCTCGTGGACTGTTGAGTGTTGGTTAATATAAGAAGGTCAGATTATGAGTGTTGGTTAATATGAGAAGGTCAGATTATGAGTGTTGGTTAATATGAGAAGGTCAGATTATGTGTGTTGGTTAATATAAGAAGGTCAGATTATGAGTGTTGGTTAATATGAGGTCAGATTATGAGTGTTGGTTAATATAAGGTCAGATTATGAGTGTTGGTTAATATGAGAAGGTCAGATTATGAGTGTTGGTTAATATGAGAAGGTCAGATTATGAGTGTTGGTTAATATAAGAAGGTCAGATTATGAGTGTTGGTTAATATAAGAAGGTCAGATTATTAGAGTGAAGTAGATTAGGATCATTGGGCGTGGGAGGCGGTGCATGGTGGTGTGTCACTCAAGTATGTGGTGTGGCGTTCCAACAGGTTCAGTCACCTGGCTTGGTCAACCCAGGCTTCACAGGGGGGCAAGTGTATCCAGCTTAACCACCATCACCCGCCCGCACGTCACCGCCCATAACCACCACCCGCCTCACCTATACAACCACTACAACCCTGCTACCTACCCCACCCTTAACCAACCCTAGTCACTCACCCTGTACTGTATCCCCACCAGCTACTGTGTTCTCGCCTCCGTCAGCTCTGAGTGTACCAAGGAGGTGAGAGCATGATAGCTGACTGTGTCCCCACCTTGTCCCAGTTAAGTAAGGTAGTGTAGCTGGTGACTTGGTGGTGGCCGGGATGGTGATTATGTGTCTCACCACAGGTGGACGCTGGACTCATCAACTATGGCTATGGTAACTTCGAGGGTGACGACATCAACCAAACTGTCAACTGGCCCCCCGTCGACGCCTCCAGTCCAGCTAAGTCTACGACGCCAAGCTATACCGGCCTACAGCACGAGCAGCAGCCGATGGTGTCCCCCAGGGTAGAAAATGAGGGAGGTAGTGGCCCCATGGTGCATGTGGTGCCCGCCTCCCCCAGCCTCGTGGCCCCAACACCAGAGAACACTCGCTCTCAGGAGCAGCTCGAGCTTCTCCTCTCACCCAAGACGCTGGAGTGAGGTGTGTCACCCATCCCTCACAATAGTATATTATCGCCTTATTGTCAACCGACTGCTGACTTGTGCCGCACCAACAACCGTATCTGACAGTGGTAACCAACTTGTGATAATTTTTACTCTAGACACTGTTGTTGCAAGCGAGGGCAAAAATGGTGGGGTTAATTGTGCCTTTATCCTAACTGCCATCATGGTTAACATACCGCCTCGTCTTGCCTCCTGTTGCAATACAGTACAGTACAGTATTACCTAACTTTACCCTGGCCAGGGCTCACACCCCCCGAGCTGTGATCAACTACGGTACCGCACACTACACACATCAAAACTGAAGGTCTTACAGTATTACAATCTGGAAAAAACAGTGTGACTGGAAATCCGTGTGAGAGAAAAACAAAACCAAGTCATGGTAGAGAGGTGACTGTGTGCGGGCAGGCAGGAGTGTTAAGTGTGGTCACGTCCTGACAGTGTGTTGAGCATCATGGCAGTGAGCAGCAACAAATACTTAGTAACTGTGATACATCATCAATTACTACACCGACAATGAATCTTTCACTAGCATACTCCATAATCCTACAAGACTTTACAGCTGTGTGGCAATTTCACATCACCGAAAAGTATTACCAGTTTATATTATGATAACTATTTCACTTGTGTTGACTATACCACGTAGGGGAGACGCAGGAACTGAACACTTAGAGCAAGGTATTGGCCTCAGAACTTAAACCAACGTATATGGGACTAATTAATTCACGACTTGACCCTAATCTAACCGAACTTAACCCAGCCAACCATTAATACACTCTATCCAGACCTAACTTAACCTAACCCGCCACTAACACAATCTAACCACACCTAACTTAGCCTAACCCACCACTAATACTGTTAATACAACCTAACCAAACCTAACTTAACCTAATCCAACCCAACCCTAACCTAACCAAACCTAACTTAACCTAATCCAACCCAACCCTAACCTAACCAAACCTAACTTAACCTAATCCAACCCAACCCTAACCTAACCAAACCTAACTTAACCTAACCCAACCCTAACACACCTTTCACTACCTCTAACACACCCTCTTACAACCTAACCAAAATCTGTTGTTTATTGTCAAGGGTGAAGACAGTGTTCCATATCGCAGTAACATCACGTGTAGTGTATCCATGTAAGCAAGGTTAGGTTAGGTTAGGTTAGGTTAGGTTAGGTTAGGTTATGTTATGTTAGGCAAGGTTAGGTTAGGTTAGGTTAGGTTAGGTTAGGTTAGGGTGGTGCTCTTGATAATATAAACATATATTCCATCATCACAAAAAATTATTGTATAGATATATAAATAAAGGACAAAATTAAACCTAAATCTATTATGAAGACAAATAAACAGACATATAGATGGATGATTATAATACTGTTCGTTGATAGATGACAGAATCCAATTACAGATACGCTTTGTCAATGCACTACTTGGCTATCGACGCGGAAGTACAAACATACGCCTTTCGGTTCTCTAAATTATCGTTTCAAATAAGATATACTGAACGAGATACTAAATTTAGGGACATATTAACGAGATATGTAATCAGTAAAATGGAAATATTAACTAACGGTCGAATGATAATGAAGTACAGTATTTATAACACATAATGGCCCTCCTTCAATACGTTATAAATGGGACTCCTGCAATACGTTATAAATGGCCCTCCTTCAATACGCTATAAATGGCCCTCCTTCAATACGCTATAAATGGCCCTCCTGCAATACGCTATAAATGGCCCTCCTTCAATACGTTATAAATGGCCCTCCTTCAATACGTTATAAATAGCCCTCCTTCAATACGCTATAAATGGCCCTCCTGTAACACGTTATAAATGGCCCTCCTTCAATACGTTATAAATGGCCCTCCTTCAATACCCTATAAATGGCCCTCCTGTAACACGTTATAAATGGCCCTCCTTCAATACGTTATAAATGGCCCTCCTGTAACACGTTATAAATGGCCCTCCTTCAATACGTTATAAATGGCCCTCCTTCAATACGTTATTATCTTCAACGACATTATAACACGGTTGCATTTTATATCAATATCTAATACTGTTTTAAATTACTAAGTGGTTGACTGGAGAGATATGAATAGTATTTAGTGACTGGAAAGGAAAATGACTGTCGGATCAGCTGCTAGAGGTGAGTGGACAGTTCCCCAGTCTTTCTGTACGTGGTGTTGTCAACTGTATACAAATTATTTTCCATTAATGATATTCAGCACCTATGAGTGAGTGTCGTTTTAAAAACATAAATATTTCACCGCAATAAAGATACAAAAGAGTAATAATGAAAATCTACCAAAGAAATTCAAATCAAAATGGTATAGATTGTAGAATTCTCCATTAAACTAACGATTATTCTAGATGATTCTAAACCTAACAAACGATATGTGATTCTAACCTAACTCATATACTGGGGGATTCTACAATACTGCCTCTAAAATATAAACATAATTAAGAATATCAATATTTTCACTTCATTCTTGGCTATGTTAATAATTACCATATATGCTGTAACAACTTTTTTTAATATATATATATAAACATTCCTGGATTGATGACTTACTGTAGTATTATTTAAAGGCATTTTAGTCATGTCAAATTAGCATACATTATAGGATACTGTACAAAGCATTATACAGTAGGGAGTCATTTGGTCATGTTTAGATTATAAATTCCAATACCATACCAGTTTTACGTGCCATAGGCTATTTAGTTACTGCAGTTCATTCATTATTCACAAGCATAATAGTACTGAGTGGTCTCTAACATGCTATCATTAGTTCATGCTGCTAGTTCTCTGAATGTTATTAGTTCATGCTTGTTCTCTGAGTGTTATTAGTTATTGAATACTTGACATATATATGGTTAACTACTTCCCTTAGTACTGTATGTGGAACTCAAGTCTTGTCATTAGTTGAGCAAGTTTGTTGTCTGAATATTTCATGATATATCGTATATAGTTCAGGACATTTTGCTTATAACCCTTCAGTAAATACTTCATTAACATTTAGTACCTATACTTGTTGTGATCAGAGCCGGATTCTCAATAATACGTATGTTACTCTCCCCCACCTGAGGATGTGAGACCTCATCTAATTAAGGCAGAAACTGTGTAATGTCGATACGATTTTGTCCGCCAGCTCTGTTTTGTTGCTTAATCTGGCCTGAGAAACGATCCTGGTAAACAAGTGGTAACAACATGACTTAAAGTGTATTATTTCTTCAGCTGTACAACAACCATCACATACCACTCATAACTCAGACAAATCCAGACTCTGAGCCTCGGCTAACCGCGTAAAACCTCAAGTAAATCACAGTCGACTTAAATACAGGGATAATGTGGTATACGAATTAGTTTTGACAACATGAAAGTCCAGGTTTTTTTTTTTTTTGTCTATTTATTCACACCTTTATATATATACTCCCCAAGAGGCAAAATGTACCACCAGAATGTATTTAAAGGTAAAAATCCACTAAAATGTAAGAACAAGATGATGCGGTTTGACTGGATTATATGACACAAATACGGTTCATAATGCAATATCGCCTCCACAAGAAAACGAGACTTGGATTCTTTAAGGAGTCGTCTGTTTATAAATTATAAGTTTATAATTTTACCGAGACTAAAAATCAGCTTCGTATCCACACCCATTTGAACTCTGGTACCGAAACACACACAGGTTCCACAAACAGTATCACTAATAGCTTTAAAAAAAAACGTAATATAACCATGGTCTTGATGCAGTATTATACGGTATGTCTAGGTCGTTTCTCGGGCATATTGACTGAGCTAATTAGTTGAGTCTTAATATCACCATTTGCGGAATTATAACGTTGCTATTCTCTGGCAATCCGAGCTTAGCATTGTCTTGTCACACTTAACCCGCCGGGCACTGTTGTCTCATTAACATTTTTCAGTAAAGTTCTTCTCTCGTATTCAATTCTAAATGACTTACCGAGTATTGTAATTTCCCAGGATTTACAGAATGGGTTTTTAATGTTACCGTCATACAATTCACATTCCTATGAACTGGTATTAATATTACAGTTTATCTTGAACACTCAGCATATGGGAAAAGATTATTGCTTTCGAGTTTTATATAAGAGTGTGTCACCTTTCAGTAAGCCGAATATATTTCTATAAAAGTACAAGTTCTACACGACAAGGAAAGTAATGCTCACGTAATATGTTGTGGCCGATGACAGCTGTTTGTTTACTCATTAACTCTGGCTGTCAGTGATGAGGAGACCATCTTTATAAAGTTTCAATGCTAATCTTACAGAATTTAAAAAAGTATTCTTAATATTAAAACATTTACGGGATTATCTTAAAAGTATTAGACACTGCTAGAGATGAAGAGACTAATAATAAATTTGTAAGTATTATCGCTAGTCATACATGATCAGGGACAACATCTTTACACAATGACACAATGTTAATAATTATACTCTTACCGCTATTTTACACGTCATTATGCACCAAATATATTTTAATATTTTAAAAATTTGTCCTAAACATATAAATTTAGTCATTTATCACCTTCCTGTCCCTTTGAAATATTTTTGTCTCGGAAAACGGGAAATATAAATCAATATTTTCGGGAAAAGCATCGAAAATCCAGGGCTACATTCTTAAAGATTCGTATGATATTTCTTGTACAGTCACCCAAAAAAGTCCTGTCGCGAACCATGAACCCCGGGTGTACAGTCTAGGATCTTCACTTACACGAAATACTCACCAGACGAACCTAGACCATTCAAAATATGTACAGTCTAGGATCTTCACTTACACGAAATACTCACCAGACGAACCTAGACCATTCAAAATATACACAATATCACTTAGATTCGTCTACTTAGTTTCATAGGAATTTTTTTTTACTAAATTGCGAAATCAACAAAAAATTAAAATCATTTACGAGCGTTTAAACACCTGATACAGACATTAGTGACCGATGCATTATTTTGAGACTTTTTAGAGGGATACAAAAAGTTTAGTCGAATCCTCCCAGAAAAAAAACCTAAAAAGTGAATCCCTAAAGTGAATCCTTAAAATATATCCATACCTTAAATCCTAAATAAAACACGTACTCACATAAACACTTCTGAACCACTATAAACCTATTATTTCTCCACTAAGAACCAAACCCCAGACTTAAACCTGGGTACAGAACCTGGTAGTGTACTTTGGTCAATGATAAGAACAATAATAATAATATATATGTGTCTGTTGTGTGTGTTTTTCCAGTGTATTCAATAAAAAATATCCTATTTTGTAGTATTGCTTCTCCTCTGTATTGCCGTAGTTACAGATACAAGTACAGGTTAAAGTTATAGATACAAGTACAGGTTACAGTTATAGATACAAGTACAGGTTACATATACAAGTACAGGTTAAAGTTATAGATACAAGTACAGGTTACAGTTATAGATACAAGTACAGGTAACAGTTATAGATACAAGTACAGGTTAAAGTTATAGATACAAGTACAGGTTAAAGTTATACAAGTACAGGATACAAGTACAGGTTAAAGTTATAGATACAAGTACAGGTTACAGTTATAGATACAAGTACAGGTTACAGTTACAGATACAAGTACAGGTTAAAGTTATAGATACAAGTACAGGTTAAAGTTATAGATACAAGTACAGGTTACAGTTATAGATACAAGTACAGGTTACAGTTAGAGATACAAGTACAGGTTACAGTTATAGATACAAGTACAGGTTAAAGTTATAGATACAAGTACAGGTTACAGATTACAGGATACAAGTACAGGTTAAAGTTATAGATACAAGTACAGGTTAAAGTTATAGATACAAGTACAGGTTACAGTTATAGATACAAGTACAGGTTACAGTTATAGATACAAGTACAGGTTACAGTTACAGATACAAATACAGGTTATAGATACAAGTACAGGTTACAGTTATAGATACAAGTACAGGTTACAGATACAAGTACAGGTTAAAGTTATAGGTACAAGTACAGGTTACAGATACAAGTACAGGTTACAGTTCTAGATACAAGTACATGTTAGTTATAGAAACAAGTACAGGTACAGAGAACTGACACAGCGGACGAAGGATTTTGACAACCCTACCGAGACAACAGGAGTCACAGTGTTCATTCTGAAATTCATCGTCATCCCAAAATACAGACAGTTCATTGAATACATTTTTCAGGAATTAAAATACTAATAATATTCTACTGAAATATCGTGCTACAGAAAAATAATAATAATCTACACTGTAATAAGACAATTATGTAATAAAATATTTTGTAGCTACAGAAAAAATACAAGAATTAAAATCAATTACAAATATTACCTCTTATATAAATACAGTAGAGTACAGTAACTTGTATACAAAAAAAAAATATATCAATTATATTTTAAGTCTACAAAAACTACAAAGGGTAACGAAATAAACATCTCAATTCTACAAAAATAATATCAACTACTACATAAATACATACAGTACTACAGTAACTTACAATTACCACTACAGGAATAATATCAACATCAACACTACATCTTACATAAATACATACTACAATAATTTACAATATCCACTACAGTACACCATCATTTATGTACAATAGGGTTGCGTTTCTAAAAATCATATTGTAAACTGAATGGTAAAAACTTCTATTGATTACCATAATATATTGGGAGATATTGTAACACACTTCAGGTTCGAACCAGTGAACCGGTGAACCAGTGAGTACAAGTCAAGAAGCTGTCAGGTTGTAGTGTAGAGTTGAAAGTCGAGTAGAAAGCGGTTCAGTTGGCACGGAATTGTAGAGCCATTATTAGGTAAGACATAATGAAGCCGGCTGTCTGAAATATAATAAACATTAATTAAAAAAAAGAGGTGTAATGGCTGAGTGGATACAATATTCGCTTCCATCCTAAGGGCCATTGGTTCGATTCCAGGGCACCCATAGTCCACCCAGCTGTGAATGGGTATGTAATTTTACTATTAGGGATGTGAAACCAATTAAGTGTAGTAACGAATACATTGCCTTGTATACTGAAGAAAATGCTTAGTCTGCAGTATACTATATCCACACTGCCCCTAATAAGTTGCCAGGTGTATGGGGACTCACTTTCACCTAATCCTTTGTTATGGTAGAGTTTTAGTGCCATTCCAGTGCCAAGAAGAGTGTGACCTATACTTAGCCAACATTTGCTTAGTACTCCAAAGAATTTACCAATCAATCCAGGGCGTCAGTCACGTAGGCCTGGCGTCACCTATCACACACCCTAACAGTACCTTGATGCTTAGATTATGTTACGTTAGCACTAGGATGTTTAATAATCAGTTGGAACAGTATGATTTACAGTACCTAATAGTCAAGTGACCGTAATAATTTTCATACATTACTGAATTATGACGTCACTAACACGTCATGACAACACCAGCCACTCACCGACGTAACACAGGATCGTCCGAGGTTGAAGAAGCCCATGACAGGAAATTCGGTCCGTTGTTGTAATATATTCAATATCCGTGACACCTGGGGGAGGAGGAGCACACATTACTAACCTAACCTAACCAAAACAAACCTAACCAAACCTAACCTAACCTAACCAAACCTAACCTAACCAAACCAAACCTAACTATATGTGAACACTTAACATCATATATAGCAGGAAAAGGAGAGTCCATGGGAGATATTCTAAGTGTATAAGTAATATTTATCACGTAGTAAGTAAGTAAGTAAGTAAGTAAGTAAGTAAGTAAGTAAGTAAATAAGTAAGTAAGTAAGTAAGTAAGTAAGTAAGTAAGTAAGTAAGTAAGTAAGTAAGTAAGTGACCTGGTGTGGAGGGGTGGAGACCATCACAAGGCGGCGGTAGAGGTGACAACACTTCCTTCGCTGTCAACACAAAAAGGTACACTGAGGCATTGGTAACACTGCGTAACACTGATGAGGAACACTGATGAGGAACATTGATGAGTAACATTGATGAGGAACACTGATGAGTAACACTGATGAGGAACATTGATGAGTAACACTGATGAGGAACACTGATGAGCAACACTGATGAGTAACATTGATGAGTAACATTGATGAGTAACATTTGAGGAACATTGATGAGTAACAATAAATAACACTGATGAGGAACACTGATGAGTAACACTGATGAATACTGAATTAGGGTCTTCCAGTGTGAAGTGAAATATTGATGAGTACAGTATTCAATTTGGGTGTTGCACAGTGGAGCGATAAATTGAATTTAATGTTGCAAAACGAAGCGAAAAATTGAATAATGTTGCAAAATGGAGCAAAACCTTGATATGAGTGTTGCAAAAAGGCAAACAATATTGAACTATGTTGCAAAATAGAACATTACATTGAATTGGATGTTGCAAATTGGACTAAAATATTGAATTGTGTTGCATAGTAGAAAAAAAACTTGAAATGGGTGCTGCAAAATAACCCCCCCCCAAATTTTTTTATAGGTATTGCAAACTGGACCAAAATACTGAACTGTTTTCCTAAATTAAACCAAAAAACATTAACCTGTGTTGCAAAATTAAAAAAAAATTGAATTGTGTTGCAAAATGAAAACAAAACATTGAATTGTGTTGTAAAATGAACAAAATATTGACCTGTTTTCCTAAATTAAACCAAAAAACATTAACCTGTGTTGCAAAATTTAAAAAAAAATTGAATTGTGTTGCAAAATGAAACAAAACATTGAATTGTGTTGTAAAATGAAACAAAATATTGACCTGTTTGCCTAAATTAAACCAAAAAACATTAACCTGTGTTGCAAAATTAAAAAAAATTGAATTGTGTTGCAAAATGAAAACAAAACATTGACCTGTGTTGCAAAATGAAACAAAACATTGACCTGTGTTGCAAAATGAAAAAAAAAAGATTGAATTGTGTTGCAAAATAAAATACTGACTGAATATAAAGTAAGATCCCTTCCCAATACGAGTTGCCACCCACCTGAGCATTGAACTGATCTGGGGGGTCGTTGAGGAGAAAGAAAGTGATAAGAAACATAAAGAGACTAATGATTTGCATGAGCTGGGCGTGACTCCCACCAGGCACTAGTAGGCCCTCCAACATGAAGTAGAGAGACAGGGTGATGGAGAGGGCACACATGAGGGTCTGGATCATCAAGGGGAAGCCCAGGTAGTCCATCACTGTCTCGATATATTCCTCGATCTGTAGCAAGTACTCCTCCGGGTTGATCGTCGTGGTGTAGTTCTGCAGAGTTGGTAGTGTGGTTATCGAGGTCTTGATATTGTGAGGTTGGTGTGTTTGGAGACAATTTTGGTGTGTTTG